ACATTTGAGTGAAAACACGTGGATCGTCTTCATTTGAGATCCAGGATCACGACTATCAAGATATATATATATATATTTTTTTTTTCGATTTGGTGCACGGGGGTTGCAGGAAATACATTTCAGAGTACCGCCGAAGCCGTTCCTTTCCGGAGTGTTACGTCATAAAAGGAGTTTTCGGAATCTCTGCTATCGGCGCCTCTTCAGCGCCCGTCAAAGCTATGCACGCGCACTCTCGCTATTTTTTTTTAAAAAAAGGTAAAAGAAAAGAAAAGACGTTACGATTGGTGTAAGTCCATTCGTTGCACGCGCTGCCCACACGAGTGACACGGACTTGACGGCCCAAAGATCCTTTTATGACATTTCGACTGGTCGGAGGTTTTTCGTGCTTTCTCGCTTTTAGATACATCTTCGGGGAAAACGAGCGTGATATTCAAATTCACGGGTTAAAAATACTTTAGAATGTTCTTGTTAAGTAATTTTTTTTCCAAGTAGTTATTATTATTTTTTTTTTTTTTTCAAAAATTAACTACGCATTGTCGAATGCACTGTTTCCGCCCAAATGAAGCGCTAGCGATCCTGACCAGATACTAATGTTTCAGCGCATGCCGCTATCTGCTTCAAAGAGTTATAAACCGACGGGAGCGGCCCCCCCCCCCCCCCCCCCCCCCAAACAATGTCGACCTCCCCCCCTCCCCCCTTCTCGGAGGGCAATTTGTCATGGGTGGACCCCCCGGTGCACACGAAAGAATGGGAGAATAGCATCCTTACAAATTTTCCGCCCCCCCCCCCCCCCAAAAAAAAAAAAAAAAAAAAAAAAACGGAGTTCTGGATTTGCCCCTGGTCAACACTGAGCTCGAAAGAAGAGCGATTTAAGGAAGGGAGAGAGAGAGAGAGAGAGACAGAGGGAAGAGAACGGGGTGGCTGGGGAATAAAGGGAAAATGAGAGGGGTCGCTTTATTTGGTCGAGTTTTCTTCCCCGACATAGAAACAACTTATAAGCTCCCCAATATATTCATCAAGGTTGAGAGTTAACTATGGTGTTCCAAGCTAATTAATGCATTCAATAAAAAAACGGGTACCTCCTATTCAATTTATGGATGAAGCTTCGAGCGATTAATTAACGCGGGCGAGGTTACAGCTCCAAGTTTAACCAGGCGTAATCATTGGGTTGACTAGGCGCAGACAATGAACCCTAATGCCCGCTTTAAAAAATAAAAGTAAATAAAAAAAAGATCTAGAAAAGTAAAGCTATAAGATCCTAATTTGGGCTTATTCGCCTAAAAAGGAAAACAGAAAGTACGTAATTAATTAGAAAATGCATCGCAGACGACACGCTGCAGTTTTAATAAGTCTTTTGCCCTAGACAGGGAGGTCAAAAATGGCGCCCAGACCGGGGGGGAGAAGGGGGGGGGGGGGGGGCAGCGCGAACTTTGTTAATTAAAGTGGCGACGAAGGGGTAAATAATTAATCAGGTTGGGGATGATTAGACGCTCGCGGTAGCGCATCCGTTTTTGGCTTGTTTTCTTATTTTTTTTTTATTCTACGAGTTATTTTGGGGAGGACGACCGCAATGCAGTTTTGTAGCGAATGTAGACGCTAGATTGCGTGACTGGTCCTGCTTTCCGAAAGGGAGCATTGTTCAAAAGATCCTTTTTACCGTACGCTCCGTGGCCAAATGTACATGGACCGCGTATATCTCGTGGAGTTCGCTTTACGTCGCCACCGTAGTGACACATAAAGCGGCGTGTATACTATATTGAGGTGTTTCGGTTTGTCAAGTTCGTTGGGAGTCGCCCTGAATTGTTTTTCGCGTCTGAATTCCATGGTTTGATATCTTCGTTTCTTTTTATTTTTTCTTGAGCGAGTTCGGGCGGCTTTGCACGGTAAGAGATCAATACGAGGATGACGATGATGCTATTACTACGACCACGACTATTAATACTACTCGTACCATTACTTCACCTACTACTTCTAGGAGTACAAATGAAAGGTACGTCGATTTAAATAATTACATGGTATGACACCCTAACCCGAAAATATACTTAAATCGGGACGTGGCGTTGGACATTGTGTTTACACACACACACACACACACACACACACACACACGCACACAGAACTAAAAACAAGACAAAAATAAATAACCTGATCATCTTACATACAAAGCACGTAAAGGCTGTACACAGTGCTTTAGCAACAAGGGTAAAATACTCAAATATAATGCAAAATACTCTCCCCCTCCCCCCCCCCCCCCCCCCCCAAAAAAAAAGTTGAGCGTTATTATCATTTTTTTTTTTTGGGGGGGGGGGGGGGCACACTGTAGATCAAGTATAATCTCGTAGTTCAGGCTTGTTGATTTACCTATGATGTTGATTCCGACTTGGTTTCTTTCTAAAACTTTATGGCATGTTTTTTTTTTATTCTTTTTTACCTCTTTTAGAGTTTGATTTGTATACGTTCGTTTAAAACGCCGAATAAAAAAAAAAGGGTTAAAATTATAGGTTTTGAATGTGAGAATTCCTACATAGTGGCGAATGATATGATCAGGTCTTCCGTATGTTAATGAAAAAGCCGAAGGATTAAACTATCATTAGACAAAGTCAGACTGGATGACACATATTTCACTTACCTTGGGGAGCATCACTAAAGCACACACGCGTTTGCTCTTGAAGCGCCCAACGACGTGCCTCCAACTATGTCAACAACAACAGCAACAACAATAATAATAATTATAATGATGACGTCTTTATTATTTTTTTTTTGATTATACAAAAAAGGTGGACGCACACAGGACTAGAAACTGCCCTTGCAGAGTGACGTTTGAGGACATGACGTCCGACACACCTCGACGGCAAAGCAGCATCATACATTTAAAACAAAAATCTAAAATAAACACACAAACATGGTGAGCACCATTACTGACAGGACTGCACCGATACTGTGCGTATCAAAAGGCACGAGTATGTGTTTGTCTCACAAGTTGCGTGCAACTACGTCATAACTCTACAGAGCGTAGTTTTGCCAAACGTGTGACTCCAGCAACTCTTGAGATGGACGCGTCCGTTAAATTTTCCTTTATTGCAAATTTATTGGTCGCGGACTTATTAAAAAAAAAAAAGGTTCTTTTTGTGGCTCTTGCAATCTTTTTTTTTTTTTTGGTCCACGAAGTTGATGTTAGTTTTAGGGTAGGTTTATAACCGCAAGTCGCTCATCTGTAAAAAAAAGTAAAAGTTCGCACTCGAGCGAAAGGAGAAGCAGTAGTAGTGTAAATACAGATGACCGACATTTGGAGCTTCGTGACTAACTCGGGGTTGTTGTGAAGTTCATTTGTTTGTTCGTTTTTTCTTCTCTTTTGGGCAGCTTTGGGTGCCGCTTGAGGCTGCAGACTTGAAAAGGCAAACAAGCATAATTGACTGCAATATAAGTAAACTAAGCGAAAATGAAGACCCCTCAGTGATTCTTTATGCTTTTCGGGTTGGGGGGGTATTTTTTTTTAAGTTAAAAGAAGGCTATGTTTTGGCATAAAAAGTAGTTTGTTCCGAAACGTTTTTAAATAACACACCCGTGTGTAATAGCTTATATAAAAAAAAAAACACTAATTTTTGAAATGGTCGCGATTGGATTTTACTGTCAGCAAGGGTTCCTTTTTTAGTTTTTGATATAAAAGTTTCAATAACACATCAAAAATTGGTTTATAAGTTGTTGTGGTTTTTGTTTTTTTAATAAAGGAGGGAAGTGGGTACGTGTTCAACTATTCCAAGTTTATTAGCAAGCAAAAACAAAATGTAAATAGGCTTAAAAAATCAAATCGATAATACTTGCGATAACTGATCCACATGTTTCTGCACTGAATCAGTCTTCAGTCAGCTAACGATCGCGCCTGTGTCTACATTCGCGAAGAGCATTTCACTAACTCAGCTGGCACTCGTAACTTTCATATTTGCAAAGAAAACAATAAAACAAAAATATTGCCCAAGTTTTCTATTTTTGTTTGGTTGTCCCCAGTCTCGGGTCTATCACTATGGAGTATGATGTTGCAGAAGTTCTATGTGTACGAAGGTCAATTCCAAAACTTCATTTGTTCACGGGTCAGTATGATATTTTCGTTAACCTTGCACTAATAATTAAAACATCAGTACAATTTCGATTTCAACATAGACACCATTAACACCATGCTAAACCCGTGCTTTAGAACACAACAATGGAAAAAGTGCGTTACTAATACTATGTTCAGTTCTATCGAGCATAGCGGCAGCATTCATTGCTTGCAACACGCGGACGGCAGAGGTAAACATTGCTCTCAAAGCGCATTTCCTCTCGAAACCAAACTCCGGGGCTGCGAATTATGGGAAATAAAACTCGGGAACGATCGCGGAATGAACACACAATCGAACATAATAGTGTGCGAAGCAAAATAGCGCAAAGCAGAGAATCACGAAGTCCCACAGTTTATCCGCAGTCAACTGACGTAGTGGTGCGGCCTCCTCCGTAGCAGACGACACAGGCGACGATCCCGACGCACTCCACCACACCGCGCGACGAAAAAACGGCGATTGGACGAGCGCGAAAGACATAAAAACGGCATCCGAAGGTTGGACATCGAGGGACGATTGTGCCCGAACTAAAATCGGTTCGAACTTTGATATAAAATAACGGTTCGGAGGTCTAAAACGAGCACCGCCGACCTCGCAGGACGCACCACCCTTAGCAGACAAACCTTTCTGCAGCCCGCGTCGACGCATTGCAGGTGAACGCTGACCAATCAACGCACACAGCAGCAGCCTCTGGCGAGCGCTGTCAACCGAACCGGTCGCATTTCTACCCTAATCCGCGAGTAAAAGTAGTATCTCCTAAAAGCCACGTTCGTGTTTAAAAAATCAATTTTTAAAATTAATCGTATATTTTCACTCAACTGATACGCTTAAATAACCTCAGAAAGTAAGGTTTAGCTTGATTGCACGTCTCTAAAGTTTTGTCAGTGGTGTTGCGCGGCGGAGTGATACAGAAGAAACGAGAGTCGCATGTGGCCGATAGATTTTCATTTTAGTGTGTCCGTCGTTGTAGGGAAAAGGGTGTTTCGGTCGGATACCGCTCGTCGAGCTCGGCTCCAAATCCAGATTCATCCGCAATGGTAAGTTTGTTTTTCGCATCAAAATCGACGTCGATGTGTTCTCGACGTTCCATCGGACCTTTCTGTGCCCTTATTTCGATCTATTCGCGACGTGCGCCGGTTTCTACGACTCGGCTTCTCAGAAGATACGCCGTTGCGGACACCGCAGGGCAGCTTTGCGTAGTCCGTGACAGACAGCCTCTCCCAGCGTAGCGCCGGGCTCGCACCAACGCGAATACACACGCACGGACAGGGGTAGGCACCCTTTTTTTGCGGAGAAACTTGCACGATAACCCGAGCGGCGTCTTGCGCTTGTCCGTATTTTTCTATTTATTTTTTCTCGGAGAGTTTCCGGGGCGGGGAGTCAGTGACACCGCTAGACTGCATCTGCCCCCTCCCCCTTGACGTAGGTCCCCCTCTGCAAAGGCCCTTCCCTCCCCCTTACCGCAGTGCACCTGCGATTAGGCCTAGGTACGAGTACGGCAAGTGCAAACTTCTACACCGACGGAAAGTTCGGTTCTCGCAATTTTCAGACCGGCGTACGTTTCGTTGAGTCCGTTAGTAATCCTTGCGCCTCAAGGTTGCAACACTTGTCCCGTTCCACGAATCCTTCGACGCCGGGGAATGCAAACACAAGCCGGGTCGACGTAAATGTTTCCCTTGCTCAAATCGATTTGGAGATTTTTTTTTTTTTTTTTCTACTACTTGGCGTCTTCGAAGTGCTTGGGTTAAGCGGTCAGCGTCCTTTCATAGCCAACAAATAAAAAACAATTTTTTGTTTTGTTTATCAGCGTTCGTTTGCCGGTGTTCGCTTGGGAGTATCCGACCAATCCCAGAAAATAAAACCGACACACCGGTGATTCTGCTAGACCCGTTATCGCATAACTCATTCAACGACATCGGCTCTTCCGGCCGCACTGCTGCAACAAGCAGTCGCTCACTGCCGTTTCGGCACGTACCGCCTTTTTTGTTCTTCCTTTTTTTTTCTCTCCCATTTCCTTTTGTACCGGGTTTTCTTTGTAGGTTCTTCGATCTTTGCGTTATTTATGACCGGCAAAGCTTTGTTTGCGCCCCTAACTTAATATTTCTACTGATCTGTTTATCTGAGTGTCGTACGTGGGCGCACAATGTCGTAGCGGTGGTTTTCTACTGCACTCGCAGCTCAACGGAAATAAAATAAAATGAATGGCTACTTTTAAATAGCAGACGACGTGGACCTACGGGAGCCTCTGCACCGCCATTCCGCGACACGAAGTAGGGCGCGATTCTCTTGCGGCCGCGTCAGCATTAGTTCGTGTTCTGTCCCTTTTTGGTCGGAATTCTGTCTACGAGAGAGTATTTCTTTGGATGGATGCTTCGAGTTCCTCCCCTGCGGCCCTGTAGTTGCTCTCCCGTGCGGCGCGATGTTTCGTCGTCACCGGCGAGCTGCCGCCGCAGTGGGTAGCATTCTAATTATAACCATTGTTCTAGCGCACCCAGCGAAGGCTGGTGTGTCGCCTGCGTGCTGTGCGGGGCACGGCCACATTTCCGGTTGACTTTGGTGAGATTCGCACACAAACGCGTCGCGCCGTTCGAGCTTGCAGAAGCGCCCTGGTAAACCGTCCCACAGTCTTCCAACGCAGGTAGACGGCGGAAAAGCGTCACGCACGAACGCGTCGACGCTGACGTGTTTCAGTGTGAATCCGCTGCAGGATCCTTTGGCTTTCTGCAACAAAAAATTTCACGCAAATGTCGTGAACGTTAAGCGACAAAAGGAAAGAGAAACTGCCGAATGCGGTTTTGGTAAGAGTACTACTCGGAGGTTCGCAGCGAACAAGCGGGCTACATCTACGTTTGCGCCCGCGCAGCTGTCGCCGGATTCGTGTGAATGCGTTGGGTGCAATTTGTACGCTTGTTTGTCTTTTTAGCTTGACACTTGGCGTTTTGTGTTTCTGTGGTTTGCTTTTTTATTTCACGTATATGAGCCGGGGAGTTTGTGTGGACAAAAATGGTGTACCGGTTTATGGAGCGGCACTACTTTACAAGAAAAAAAGTTTATTGCAGGGAAGCTTATAGACTCTTCTTTTTTTTTTTTTTTTCTCTTCAAATTTAGTAGTAATATTAGGTTTAGTAGGGACCCCACGAAGTCGTTGCGAAAAGGGCGGCGCCCCGACGGAGAAGCACGCTGATCCGAAGGACACCGTAAATGGGGGAAAACGTGACTGATTTCAAGACGTGAGATCACGACTGACGTTCGCGGATTCTCGCCGACGACTTTCCGCGGTTATCTTTTATCGGCATACCTTCTCGGCTGTACCTAGCCAGGCAGCTGCTCGGGACAGATGTAGGATAGGTGTGGCTCGTTGGCGGTCGGCATTGCGATAACCGTGTCGTTGTCGCAAGCCCCGCAAAAGTTTGCCTTGGTAGCTTCAGTGGGTGACACAACTTGTGGCTAGGAGGATGGATGTTGCGGTCTGCGTAGACTAGGCTGCCCCTGATAATATACAATAAACATGTGAATGAATAACTACGAGCACTTTTGTCCCAGAGACGAGTGCCTGGTGAACATTCAGTGGAAAGCTTTTAGATATAGATCTTTTTTATTAAAGTTTAAATCCCCAACCATCTAAAACATCTGCCTTGCATGTGAGGTCACCCTCCCTTCACACACACACACTTGAGCTAATAAAGCAAGCTTGCTTGAGTTCAACTTCGGTCAAGGTCATTTGCCATTTCTGAATCCTTCCAGCTCAGTTGTCAAAAATGAGACACCCTGGAAGGCCTCAACACTTGTCTAGGGAAGCTGCTTCAAGGCAAATAAATGAATGAGGTTCCTTGGCGAAATGTTCCTTGCAAATTTGAACTTCTCAGCTTTTAGAGAGCTTCAGTGTGAGGAATTAACAATTGACTATTCGTCGTTTCTCTGAGGAATTTATCCTTGCTATTGTAGTACTTCTGCTCTCCGAGTTTGACTGTTGCCTGGTGATGTCGATAATGCATTGACAGTTTTCTTGTTGGTGTGCTTTCAGGCTGATCAGCTTACAGAAGAACAGATTGCAGGTGAGCTTGCTGCCTGCTTCACTTGGAACGATGAGACGACACCTGAATGTTAAATATTGCAAACACGACGGTTTGTGTCGTGCAGTCAATTTTCACAGTATTTTTAGACAGTTTTCAGAGTAGTGTGTGGAGAACAGTTGGGCTTCAACTGACTATTCCAAACTTCGATTATCCTATGGTCCAAGGAGCTCTTAAATTTTTAGCTGTGCAGGTCGCAGTGTTTTCGACTACTGCCTGCAGCAGGATGGTAGGTGAAAAGACGAAACTTGCTTCAACTTAGTTTACTGATGGCGGCAGAATTTTTAACTTGCAAGGAGAAGGCTGAAATGCGGTAGATAGAGGACTGCTCGAACTCTAGGCGTGACATGATAGTTATTAGGCAGGACGTAGCATCGCCGCTGGAAGTCTCGGATAAGCAGATGACATGCGACAGCTGTACTCGTTTAAACTTCAAAAAAGAAAAGCAAGTTTTACAAAATCTAATGGTTAAAAAAAAAGAAGAAACAAAGAAAACCTTGAACAGGTACAAATATCTTAATTCCCCACATAAATGGGGTGAAATCAGTAGTATTTTGCGAGGAGCCACCTTCTTTTTTTTACTTCAACCTTATAGTTAAAGCGAGTATAATGCCTACCTCTAAAAAAAAACAATTACCGCTTTATAGCATTACGTTGAAAATACAATTGAATGAATGTGGATGTTTTACGGGAGGGATTGAAATAGCAAGCTGTCTTGGTATCTTAGCATTTCCTCGACAGTTTTCTTTGGGTGGTGAAGGTAGTGTAACGAAGTAGACACAAGTTGTCCATGATCCTATGTGCTGGGCACTTCATTCTTACTAAAAAGACTCAAAATGGCCAGCTGTACGATTAGGCAAATAATTGGGTATGTATGTATGACATGGGTATGTATGACAGACCATCAAACTGTAAGGAAGTTCCCAAAAGTTTCAACCCCAAACGTAGCTAAGCTGCAACGAGGAAGGAGTGAAATTGTCTTTTGCAGTTCATGGGAAGCCCTTGGAAAATCGTACTGCAATTTTGGTTATCAGGCAAACATTAAGTACAGTCCAGTGTTGGGTTTTCTGGGAACGTTTCTTCCAAAGCCAGGGACTTTGGTAGATCGAGACACTGCCAAGGTTTGTCGTGGCAACTCTCGACGACTCGAGGGCTGTTCAAAATATTTCTAATAGGGCGATTCCGGACAATAAATCAAGCTGCTTGCCCTTTCTCAAGGAAAACTTTGACTGACCTGAGATCTCTAATGGGCAAACACTGGCTTCAGAGACTATGAATCGAGCTGTTTGCCTCTTTTCAAACAAAACTTTTGCTTTCCCGAGATTAAACCATTCTTGATGCTGCGAGCTGGCAGTGAATAATCCAACGCCTCTGCTGTTGCAGTCAACACTGAGCGCACCACGAGAACCACGTCCATTAAACGAATTTTGTCGAATTGAGTCTGGCCAGTTTTTAGGCAACGAGAAAGCAACAACACTTGTCATCCTCTAGACCAGGGGTCTCCGAAACCCAGCATACGGAGCAGGTCCAGCCCTTGGAAGTCTTCGACTGGCCGCGATCATTCCACTGAAGTCCGGCCTGCGACCCGCTTCCACCAGACTTGAGCAGCGCAAAAAGAAGAGCGTGTAAAGAGACGGTGGTGCAAGGCGCTCTAGTCTGTTAGAAAGAATGAGAGAAACTGCATTGTAATGGGTCTTCTCGCCATAGTAATTTACCATTGCCATTGCTGGAATTACCATCCTTAGCCCCATGCTTTGCGTCTGTGTAACTATGTTAAAGTTACATTAAGTTCTCACAAACAGTGCCCTTAGTGTCCTCTGTCGCAACTTTTGCGGACTTCGGCATTAGCCTCCTTAATCTTCAGATTCACGCCTGATGTGCGCTTTGATATATATATGCCTGGCGAGTTTCTTGGTCACAACCGTCGTGTAATGTCATAAGATCCATATTCAATTTTAATTTGACGTACACATATTCATTCACCTTATGTTTTTTTTTTATTACCTGCTTGAACATCAATTTCTACGTTTAATTGCTTACCCAGGTTTATTTACTTGGTTTATCTTGGACTGTACTCCTTTTTTCCGGCCCTAGAGTATGCGACCGATTGCTGAAACGTTTGGAGACCCCTGCTCTGGACCTCGACCCGGGTGTGGTCCAGGACGTAAAAATGCCGCCTTTGGGAATGTTTCTGCCTATCCGCAGCTGCTTTTACCTCGTGTCTAGACTCTGCACACTTCGAGTGTGCCTTGTGTTTGATGCGAACGTTTTGGTGGCTGTGCATGCAGAGTTCAAGGAGGCGTTCTCGCTGTTCGACAAGGACGGGGATGGCACCATCACGACCAAGGAGCTGGGCACGGTCATGCGCTCGCTCGGCCAGAACCCGACGGAGGCGGAGCTGCAGGACATGATCAACGAGGTGGACGCAGACGGTACGACGCTCGCCACCCCTCACATTGCCCGCACGACGAAACCATGATGTCCGGAAAGTGTCCCAAAAAGCGGTCCTTCGATTTCCATCCGACGACGATGTCGCGGAAGCGTCGCCATGTCGCCGACTCCGATCCTGGCGCAGCGTCGCAGGGCGCGATGACGCGGACACTCCTGTCGGAGGTGCGCTCCGGGCACTCTAGATAGCAGGCGTGTTTCGTGGATCTGTCGGAACCTTTGAAGCTACATGGGGGCTTGCTTGTGACATAATTTCCGTGCAGGCTGCCGAGGTATGTGCTCCGCAAAAAGGCCGCCACAATGGTAGCTGATGCGACGCGAGTGAAATCCGCAGGTCAATAGGCCTCTGAAATAAGGTTTGGCAACTTTGTTGACGATCGTCGGAGGGCGTGCTATCTGTGCCTTAACGGACTTTGGCAACGTTCAGGCTGCCAATGAGGAAAGAAAGACGTGTCTAAGCAAATGACGCGAGGGTTGTGAATTCGAAAGATTAGCGCGATGCAACACATAAATTGGGTGCAAGTGCTGCATCTGCATTTATTTTAAGAACGGGTCATTAGTGTGGACGAACTCACCTCTAGAACCCCTGATGTAGCACATTTTGTTTAGAGCTCTACTTGCGTATACACTTGGTGTAGACTGGTTGTTTTCCTGGTATGGGTACTCTTTTCCTCAAACGTCGATGCCACTATGAAGACCATTCACTTTTTTTTAGATTTATGCAGCGGACTGGGTATCCGCTAACAGATTGATCTTCTGATGACACATCCGTGGATTGTCTATCTCCCATGCTCATTCACACAGGAGGAGAGCAGACGACAGCGAGGATAAACTGAACCTTTTGTGACCTTACGCTGTCCCGAAATGCCAACAGTGTACTGTGGCACCGTTGTCGAAGGGCAGAAATGCCATCTGGCACTCTGGCCACAGCGCTATTGCATTGCATTGCAAAAGAATAGTTGCGTGCCGCCGTTAGTTGCGTACGAGGGAAACAAAAACAAAGTGCTGAGCTTAGCGTGAAGTGCTACTAGCCTTACTAACGCAAGGCAAGTACGGTCCTGCTCGAGGAGGCTCTGTGTAGAATCGGTGGGGTTCTGGGTTTGCGAAGGGACGTTTCAAGATGACCTCATGCGCTCAATGCTTCCCTGGACCGCAGCAACCGAAAGCTCTTGTTGGACGGACAGGCAAGATGGATTGAACATGCTAGACAAATTTTGACAAACTTTCAGGAAAAAGAAACTCTTGCGTGTGCTCTTCCAAGTCTATTTTTCGCCAGAAAGGCGTTCAACCACTTCACTCTGCGTTTCTGGACGAGGTACGGATCGCGGTACTCGCAATAGTATTGGTCACATGGTACGGGATCCGCAGACTAAAATTGATCAGTCTGTTGTGTGAATCTGACATCGGTCTCGTTAAGTGGCGCTCATTTACCCTGTAGCAGCTCTCAGGAACAACAGTCCTGTTTTCTAAAGCAGCACGGATGCCGTTAACAACTCGAGACTGAAATGCACCATTTTTGTGCTTCGGAAATGCTGTTACACCACCCCACGCATCGCCACTTCCTTCACGAAGGTCATTCGACAACTTGCGGGACATGGGGCTGGCTTCAGTGGCTCAATGCGTCCACCGTAAGTTCAAACAATATATAGGCACATCGGCAAAAGCTGGTGACGGCTGGCAACACGGACCCTACTCGACGGAATGAGTTTGAGTTGCATCACTGGAAAGCGTACCTTGTTTTAAAACATACTGCGGCTGTTTATTGAGCTACTTAAACAGATTGCATTTTCTGAATACCTGGACTAGTTTTTATTCTACGCTATTGTCTCGAAATTCAAAATGGTTACAGGAAGAATCGGAAATTAACATGATGCCGAAACCAACATTCTGATTTCCGCTCCCTCTCTATAGTGCGTTGCAACTGAAGAAGGTAGGGTGAGGGTAAGACGGGCCAGGGAGGAAGAAGCAGACGGAACGCTGGGGGGGGGAAAACCTCCTCTCTTTAGCGTTGAGTCTGCTTCCTCCTCCCCGGTCAGTCTTGACCTCACCCTACCTTCTTGAGTTGCAACGGACTATAGTGATGCGACGTCGCAAATGGTACAGACTTTTAGTTTGCGCAGGTAGTCTTGGAGTATGACGAGCGTTTTTTATTGCTTTGTGAACGGGCTTCGAGGCATTCTTTTCCCACCATCGATTGTCCTGTAATCGGTTGGGAACGTCGGGGTGTCTAGCGACTGGGAAAACCGGGAATTGTCAAGGAAATTTTAATTATCGGGAAAAATCTAGGAATTGTCAGGGATATTGCCGAAAAGCGAACCCAGTCAGAGAAAATGAGCCGTAAATGCCACCAAGTGCCCTAAGCAAAGACTTAAGGACTTGGGGCAGAAAAATGGGCAATAAATTCTGCTTAGAGCGGAACGTAGGCTCTGCTCACCCGTTCAATGTAGTGTGCTACCCGATGCAGAGAACAGCCGACAAATCCAGTCCAAGCATTGGATTGGATTAAGAGCGTGACACTAGGCTAGATCCAGTTAGAGCTACTATTGTTCGTTGTAACTCAAGACTGTAGGGCAAGGGTAAGACAGGTCGGAGAGGAGAAAGCAGACGGATCGCTGGAGACTCCCTCTTTCTCTCTAGCGTTCCGTCTGCTTCCTCCTGCCCGGCCCGTCTTACCCTTGCCCTACTTTCTTGAGTTGTTACGGACTATAATGTTAGGCCCGCTTCAAACGGGGTAATTTCACCCAGCAAGTTGACGTCGCAATACCAGACGTCGCAATACGTTCACACGCAGCAACCAAATTGCTCCGACTTGCTATCATTATCATTCAATCTGATTTTTCTTGCACTATTTAGACGCACAGCTACGCACCAAAAACATGTTTCTATATCTTTGAATGGTGTTGAGAATACTAACTCTTCTTTCTGAAAAGGTTTATTTTCAAAAACGATCCATTTCAAACCAGAACCAAGTCTTTAGCTGTTATCATCACCGCCACGGGGGTGTCATGTGAAAATATTGCGTCGCTGATTGGCTGCAGCCACTTCAAACGTCTTCAAATTGCTCAGAGTTGATCGCTTGTTCGAGCCGGATCCGATCTCAGCAATTCGTGTCGATCTAGGGAAAGCTAGGGAACAACCCGCCAGCAACCTCAAAGTTGCTGGAAAAGTTGCCCCGTCTGAAGCGGGTCTTAGTAACAAATGGGAAAGCCGCAGACCCCAATCCAAGCCTTAAGCCGAAGGTATCCGAAAGTGTGTATCTGGCGGCCGTGTGGCCATGTTGTCATTTGGTTATTGACTTGTGTGGTTGAACTTCGCGTTTTCATAGTGTTTCCGGCAGTCGCATCTTCACCGACGATGTCGGCAGCAAGGAACTGCTCCTTTAATCTGTACCGGACGAACCCGAATATTTTGGAATATGCAAGTTCGGTTAAGCCCGTGCAAAACGATCCTCGCAGTGCTCAATGCCTTGCGCTCTAATGGTCTGATACATTTAACCGCCTCTACAGTGGTCACGGAATTTCATCTGAAATTGTCAGGGAAAACCTGGAAAAGTTTGAGAATTTCATAATAATGTGCTAGACAGCCTGAACGTGGTTTACTGCCCACTTTGTACTATTTCTGTCGTTCCACTTCAGTGTTGCCAATGGGGGCTCGGTTGTAGGAGCATAATAAAAATAAAAATAATTAGCTTTTTTTTTTATTTAATATTTGGGGGATTGGAGCTGGAGTATTGCTTTCAAGGGATAATGAACAGAAATTTCGAGCTCGCTAAACAAGGCCGGGCGGATAGGCGGGAAGCTGCAAAACCAAAAAAATATCACTCGTATGGCGATACACCTAACGGATTGCCATACTTTTTGGAAAAGAAGTGTGCGAGTGAACCTGGTCGAGGAGGCCGACGAAGCAAGGCACGTCACGATTTCCATTCTCCTCCTCACTACATCCCGTCAAGCTGGTGAACCGAAGCGAGGAGGAGAGAAACAAGGACGCTTCTCATCCTCAAACTCTCCCGGAGGACAGTTACATCAAAGAACTCGCTTGATCGCGCCCTTCTTTTCCAAAAGTACGGCCATCGGTTTGAGATATCGATGTACGAGTGATGTTTTGGAGTTTGTAGCGTCCGGTTCAAAACTTCTGCAGCCTTAATTTGCGAAATCCAAATTTCAATTCAGTATTTCTTTAAGCAGCTCCAGCTACACTGTTTGGTGTCTGACCCCGACGTTGCTGGTGCCGTACCCAGGCAACGGAACGATCGACTTCCCCGAGTTCCTTACGATGATGGCGCGCAAGATGAAGGACACGGACTCTGAGGAGGAGATCCGGGAGGCGTTCCGGGTGTTCGACAAGGACGGCAACGGCTTCATCTCTGCGGCGGAGCTGCGCCACGTCATGACCAACCTGGGCGAGAAGCTGACGGACGAGGAGGTGGACGAGATGATCCGGGAGGCGGACATCGACGGGGACGGGCAGGTCAACTACGAAGGTGGGCACGCTTTCCTTCCCTTGGTTATCCTCCTGCTATGCTTTCTGCAGTTGCTGTGAGGACAAGATCTCCTTTGCCTCTTGTGGAGCTAGCGAAGGTGGCATTCATGGACCGTTAGTCTGCTAATGTGACCAAAGAATGCAGTTACTGTTACGAAGTACCACTCTTAGCCTGAAATGAAACGGAATACCGCATGTCGTGTGCTAACATACCGGAAAATGTTGATAGTCTGCTACGAACAGAGTGCCGCGGCAAAGCGAGACCGAATGCGGGCAGAAATTGCCGTAGTCTGCCATTTTTACCTTGGAAGCCAACGACAACCTGTGCTTCTTTTGCAAATCTTGAGTTCTACTCTACACAAGCTGACATCAACCCATAGATAAAAGGAGCATTACGGACAAGCGCAACGGGGGCCCCAAGACCTTTCTCGTTATTTGGAAATTGGCGAGACTTGCCCAAATTTGTCACATTTTGAACCCTTGAACGGGTCTAAAATATCTCATTGGTTGTTTACGTGCCAGATGTGGCACCACTTTTAGTAGTGATGGACCAAATCTGACGAACTTCAGATTCGGCAAACTTCGGCAAATGCCGAACTTTTGAAGGAAAGTTTGGCGAAGATTCTGCAAAACTTTGGCAAATATCTGCGCACGCGCGAGAACGCGACTAGGCCATGGATTGCAGATGGGCGCCGTGCAGTCGTGCGGTTACCTTCGTGCAGTGTAGTACAACCAGCAGTTACGGCAAGGTGTGAAATAGGCAACGCAGTATAACTGTAGGTTTGTGAGCGAGTGTGGTTCTCTTTAATATTTTTTGCCTCCAGAATAGAAGATCGACCACTAACTTACGCAGTCCACTGCGCAAGTGACATGATGTAGTACATTCTGGATAACGTGATATTCATTTGACCTTTCCAGGGATGCAACGAGGTAGTGGATCATTGGCCGGCAATTACTTTAAAGCACTCCTCACAATTATAACAATTCTGTTTTCAGCTCAGAAGTAGTGTGTTCCGAAACAAAATGTTTTTTCAATTAGTGTTATTTCACGACTTTCATGTATCTGCATTGAACTATGATGCTCGACGTTGCACGCCCGACATTCCTAAATCTCCCTGTCCTGTCCTAACGCCACACTGTCCTAACACCAGAAACTGGCATTTTAAAGGTTAAAAACGAGCCGTTGTGATTATGGGCCTCACACTTTCATGCAAAGCTGACGTCAAGTGGCTCTAATCGAAAGGCATGCTTATTTACAATAAGATTGTTATCTCTTCCAGTGAAGGCGGCAACCATTCCATCCGTTTTAGCGCACAAAAGAATGCAGCGTTGTTGCTTTCATTTTAACAATGTACACACACATGCAGGCTTGCGCTGATGATGCCTCAAAACCGAAACTCTTGTAGTGTTATTTGTGACTGTGCCACGCTCGCTTCTACCCAACCTCGTTATCACGCCGCTTCTGCAAGGAGTTGCTAAAATTGCCTGTAAACACACAAAAACGACACAGATACAATTATCTGGTAGAATATCACCTTGTATAGTAACAACTGTGTCAAAATGCATTACATGTTGCATTTAAGTTAAGGAAAAAACGACGTAAAACCTCATTTTGCCAGAAAAAGCTAAATTTCAACGTTAAGCCTGGTAACAATGTATTTTTGTCAAATCTCTGAAAAAGTTTGGGTTTGCCGATTCCCAAGATTCAGCGCCAAACTTTCAATTCGGCAAAAGTTCGGCCCATCCCTACTATCAGCGTTGGAACTAAATGAGCTCTTTCTGTAGAAATTATAACTTGGATGATTGATGTCCATTGGTTTCAAAGAGAAAAACTAGAAAAACCGGCGATGCTTGTTCACGCTAGCACTGTCGTGCTCTACACACACATGCAGGCTTGCGCTGATAATGCCTCAAAATTGCCTCAAAACAGAAACTCTCGTAGCGTGATTCGTGAGTGTGGCGCGACGCTCCAACCTCGTTGTCACGCCACTTCTGCAAGGAGTCATTAAAATTGCCTGTAAACACAAAAATGACACCGATACAATTATGTTGTACAATATCACCTTATTTAGTAATAACTGTGTCAATATGCATTACATGTTGCATTTAAGATAAGAAAAAGGAAAAAAACTTTTTTTGCCAGAAAAAAATTAAATATCAACGTGAGTCTAGTAACAATGCACTTTTGCCGAATGTCTGCTGAACCTTTAGCAAAGTTTGTAAAAAGTTCGTCTTTGCCAAATCCCAAGATTCGGCACCGAACTTTCGATTCGGCAAAAGTTTGGCCCGTCTCTGACTTTTAATCGGAGGCCGAAAACTCGTGCTCTCACCTCTCGACCAAGATCGGACGGACTCCTGGAACACGATTTTGATTAAGGTGAGAGTGTCCTCGGCGGCCGATTAGACATGGCTTCACACCATGCGCGGAATCAACCGATGTGAAATTTTCTAACCTGCTTGCGCATTCGCAAATTGCCAATATTTTAACGAGAACGTCTCGCCAACATACGGACGGTGGGAGAGGTCTCGCGGCCTCTACGTGCTTGTCCTTGTTACTTCATCCAACGGTCCATGTTTACATGCATACGGCTACCGGACAAGTTGAAACTTTTAAACAAAACGCGGGTCAACAGTGGCCTCCAACGTGAAGTGGCAGATGATTGCAATATCTCACCCTGCCCTGGCGCTCGGTTCGTAGCAGACGATGAACGCTTTCCAGTCTGTTAGCATGTGAGGAATGATGTATTGTGTTTTATTTCCGTCTTACCATTGACTTTTCGTAGCAGACGAACCACGCTGTGCGCTTTGTCCATTATACAGCCTTTGCTTGTTCCGCAGAGGCAAATCAGATCTGCCTCTCGTGGTGGCCAAAATCGGACCCTGGTATGAGTCTCCAAATTACGCGTTTACCGCACACTTGAACGAGGGTACCTCAATTTCTGCCCAATAACATCATGGAAGTGTCACGCCTGTTCTGTCGCGGTTGCTCTGTAGCCAGTTAGTCGACGGAAATCAAGGCCGACACGAGAGTGAACATCGTGACGGTCCTTGTGCCTTTTACAGTGGGCATTTCTACGCTTGACCGCCAGGATTGCGACGTCCAACGGCATGACGGGCCCGTAACGTTGCGGCTGATGTCGTGTGGGTTAGGCTGTGGTGAAATCGTAGCTAGGCGTTCATTCGTGGCGCCGTATTAGTTGCGACGGTCTCGCTGCTTGTTGCTGTGCTGACAGCGGGTCCGACACTTGCGCGCAGTTTGGTAAGAGGAACATTGCCGTCGTATGTTGAGCAAAGAGAAACAATTCAGGAGAGAAAGCTAAATACATACTCTGCATGCAAAAAAAAAAAAAAAAAATTTAAATCTTAACACATTGTTACAAGGCGGAAGTGTCTTAGCACATTGTTACAAGGTGGAAGTGAAGAGATGATAAAGAAAGAGAAGCTCTCGCCTTACAACGAACGTGTGTCAGGATCAAAGAAAAGAGTGACCGTCCAGTTGGTGTTCTTTCTGTTCTGTTCTTCAGTAGGCTAGCGCTTGGTTCTCGTGGAATCTGGGTCACTACAAACGCATTGTGGAAGTTTGTTGGAAATGGTTTCTGCTATATTGAATTACTTGCTATATCGAACTGATTGTAACGTTCCCTGCTGTTTTTTATAAATGGGTTTGACTGTACTGCCGACAGCGTTGTAACGAAGCGCCGTTGCTGACACTGTTTTGCTGAATGAATATCTGAAACTTCGAGAATAACGAGGTGTCACTTGAAAGTCTGAAGACAACCGCTCGAAGGTTCAAAGTGCGACTCCAAAATTCCCGTTAGCATTTCTACACAAGTTTAAGGTTTCTTCATTTACTCGCGTTCGGTTGTTTATTTCTTAATTTACGCCTGGGGTGGGTTGACGGCACTCCTTGGAAGTAAACCTCTTGGCTAATCCTCCATTCAGCAGTTCCCTTACAAGTTTGTGTGGAATGTGCTCATAGAAAGGGTTTTGTGTTTTCAAGGTTCAAATTTGAAGGTATTTTTCTTTGTTTTTCGGTTTAGCGTTTTTTCGGCATATTTTTGGTGCCGGACAAAAAACAGGTGGGCGGGGCAGAACTTAGAAGACGAGAATGCAGCCAAGGTATTCTCCAACCCCAGGGGAACATGTGGACTACTCAAATCTTTGGAAAGACGTCCCAGTTTTGATGAGATGGATACGAAATTAGGAGCTTGGCTCCCAAAGAAAGAAGCAGCCTTGTAGACTGTTCCTAGTCAGTGGCCACACCAAGAAACAGCCCAGGAAAGACCGACGGGGAAAGGACCCCGCAGGGCCCGACACCAGCCCAACCCCACCAAGGGGCACTTAAAGGCAACACTGGTGGGTCGACGACAACCGAGGACATCCCTGCTCAGACAACCGTCACCGCAGTGATATTTGCTTTACCCCCCCCCCCCCCCCCCTCCCAAGGGCAGACCCCTGTCAGGGGGCTTATTCCTCAGTAGAGGGATAATCGCCAGAGCCTGCTGCTGCAGCGTACAAGCTGGCCGGACTCACCACGAGTTGGTAGAGGCTGACTTCTCACGTGGCGACAACCGCGGGCGCTCGCGCCCCAATAACCCATACAGCCAGGGATGCTACTAGATAATTTACTTAAAACCAAACCATCTAAAGGACAGAACTTGGACGTCGGTCAGTCAGCAGGGATTGCCGATGTTTCGAACCTGTCAGCTTGTCCTTCCTTTGATCCTCCAGCATACACCGAGCTCGGGTCTCTCCTTCTCGTCTTCACTCTGCTGATCCCCGAGGCATGCAGGTCATTTTGGACAATGTTGCTTTGGCAAAGAGAACGGGCTGCTAAAGCCTCGACCCTCTGCTCCCTACTCCCTGCCTTGGTGCATACCTGCCAACTCTTCCAAATTTTTCGTAAAATGTACGAATTGGGACTAATTTTACGAATCTTGCTTCAAATCTTACGAAAAATGTATATATATTTTTTTGTAATTTTTTTTTTTGTAACTTTGT